GGAGTGTGGGGAGGAGATGGCAGATGATGGAGCAGGAAAAACAGATGGAAGGGTCTCATATTGAAGATCATGCAATGGGGATTTGAAAGCCTCTTGTAGGCAGTGGATAGCTACATATCATCTTTAAGGAGGAAATGCCATGCTTAAATCTGCTTGAAGAAAAGAAAGCTGATGACAAGTGGGATATAGATTAAGAGGCAAGAATACAAATCAGGGCAACTAGTTGGGAGGCTATTACTGCATCCTAAAAGAGGATTAAGAAGCCTAAACTACATGATAATGAATAAAGAAAAGATAAAATAACTTGGAAAGATGTTTCAGAACCTTAACAACCAATTAAATATGGACTGTGAGGGTGAGAAAAGTTGTGTGGGAGGAATGGAGACATTGCCAAGATTTTACTTTGGAAACCCCTACATGCATGGTAAATAGATTAATTAAGGCAGGAAAGCAGAAGAGTGGACTGGAGGGGAGGAACAACTCATGTTTCCTATGAAAAGCACTTGTAGGACAACCACCAGGAGATGATGTCCAGGAGGCAGTTAAGAATGTAGAGCTGGCTGGGACAGTAATTCATACCTGTAGCCCTAGCTACTCAGGAAAAGCTGAGGTCTGAATATCCACAGTATGAATCCAGCTCAGGTAGGAACCTATTAGGCACCAAAAAAAAAAAAAAGAGCCAGAAGTGTCACTGAAGTTCAAGTAGTAGAGTGCTAGCCCTGAGCACAAAAGCTGAGGGACAGCACCCAGGCTCTGAATTTAAGCCCCACAATCTAAACAAAAACAACAAAAAGAATGTAGATCTGGATGTGGTTAAGGATGCAGACCAGGATCCTATATTGAGAGACAGGTAGTAGGAGCCCCAGATTAGGAACTTGGGATCTTTTTCGTTTTATTTTGTTGGGGATGAGCTCTCACTATGGGACCAAAGCTGACCTATAGAACTTGAGATCATTCTCCCTCAGCTTCCTAGAAGAAAAAGGACAGCTCATGAAAAAATAATGTGAATGTTCAAAAGTAAATGTGAATTCAGGGCACTCAGAAAAGACACAGATGGAACAGAAGAAAAGCTACCTAATGCAGAAGTCTGAGGGTGGGGCATTCACATTTCAGGGGCTGAAGAAGGAGCTCTAAAGAGCAGTAGTGGCTCATGGGGATAGGACAGGGGAGGGAAATAATCCTTCATAAGCATGGATTACACACTACTAAATACTTAAAACTGGATATCCATCCTTATTGTCCTTCTTTCCTGTAGCTAAGTCAACATGCTCTCATTGTTTTTGCCATTCTAGGAGTCAAGTACACACATAATTAGCGATAGGTGTATGCAACAACAGGGGTCACTTGAGCAAGGACATCCATGGCCATGGATCTGAGAAAAAGTGTTTCATAAGTTCCTTTTATGTGACCAGTACAACCAAGGAATATTAAATTTCTCTTCTTAGAGGCTCCTCTTGGAAATATGTGCATACAGACTGAGTAGCTGTTAATTCAAGAATCTTCCAAACTCTGAAACTAAAAATCCCCTTACATGACTTCAGGTGATGGGTCAGTCAAAATAGACACCTTGAAAATATGGTTTAACATCACTTCCAGGGTATGTGGATAAGGTGTATAAATGTATAGGCAACTATTTCAAAATCTTAATAAACGCAAATGCTTCTAGAGTCCCAGGCATTTTAACTAATGTAGTAGCTAATTCACTGTATCTCCAAAAGAAAATTATCTTCATATTTTCCATAACTAAAACAACCCTAGAGGCTCCAGGACTAGAGGCTTTCCCCTTCTTGTAACAACAGCATCCACCCCAGACTCCAGGGCTAGGGTGGCTGGAGGTAGTTATAAAGCCAAATGCTTAGCACTTTGGAGGTCTGCCTCATGCTCAAAGACAAGCTCCACTTTCCACTGCCATGTACAGCAGCTCTGACACTGAACGGAGACAGGCCTCTTTGTGGTGAGCTGTGGCCTCATCCAGGAAACTGACATTACGCTTTACCTGCCACAGTGGACCACTGTTAACAGGTGGGGTAGGAAGTGAAGGGTTTGGAAGGGGAAGAAAAAAATACCAAATAGGTACAGATTTCCTAAACAGCTATAAAAGGGGTAAAATGAAAATTGGATTTCATTAATAATATCAAGCTGGACACAGGTAGCTCACACCTGTAGTCCCAGATACTCAGGAAACTGAAGATCACAGTTCAAAGCCAGCCCCTTAGCTCCAATTAACTAAGCAAAAAAAGTGACAGCATGGCTCAAGTGGTAGAGTATCACCGGAAGCATAAAAGCCAAGCAAGAGTTCAAAACTCTGAGTTCAATCTCTATTACTGCCCCCCACATACACACACACAAAAAATCAAAAGGGCATATATGAAAGAAAGCCAATATGACAGTAAAAAGGAAAACAGAGACTGGGGGAAAAAACATTTATTTTGCCAGCCCTGGGGCTTGAACTCTGGGCCTGGGCACTATCCCTGAGCTTCTTTTGCTCAGGGCTAGCATTCTACCACTTGAGCCACAGTACCACTTCCAGCTTTTTCTGTTTATGTGGTACTGAGGAATCGAACCCAAGGCTTCATGAATGCTAGGCAAGTACTCTACCACTAAGCCACCTTCCCAGTCCAAAACATTTTTGAGACAAAATGTCACTATATAGCCCAGGTTGGCTTCAACGTGACCATCTCAACCTCCCAAACACTAGAATTAAGATGTACATCACCATACCAAGCAGTATCTTCAATTCATAAATAACAAATGATTCATATGTGGAACATAAGAGAATTCTCACTAAGGAAAAAATGTAAAATTAGGCAAAAAAAAAGTTGTCCACAGTAGTACACACCTACAGTCCTAGACTCAGAAGGCTAAGGCAGGAGGAGCTCTAGTTCGAAGCCAGCCTGGATTACATAGCAGATCCTGTCTCATAAAAGTGTGGGTCAAGATTTAAATGTAAATGAGCATATAATACAGAATTCAATATCATTACTCACCAGGAAACGCACATATGAAGAGACCACAAGGAGTACCAAACACTCCTACCAAGACTACTACAAAAAGAATTAAATGGTAGAGACACTATGTAATCTGCATGGCAGTTTCTTACAACAGTAAAAGTAGATTTATCCCAGCAATTCTACTTTTGGTATATATCCCAAATGAAGTGAAAGCAGATTATCAAAGAGCTACCTGTCCACCTACATGCATAACAGCATTATTAACAGTCAAATGGTGAAAGGTACGTAAGTGTCTATGACAGTGGAAGACATCATATACCCCCACAATAGACTTCTACGTAGCCTTACATTGTAACAGGATGTGCAGCATGGTTGAATCAGGGCATGCTAAGTGAAATAAGCCCTTGCAAAAAGAAGAATGCGGTAAAATTCCACTTATAAGGTAGTCAAATGCCATAAACAGAATGTACATGGTGGTGGTTGCCAGGGAATGAGGGATGCATAAAATGGGACATATTTTTGGGGTTTCTTATTTTGTTTTGTGCTAATATCAGGGCTCGAACTCAGGGCCTTGAGCTCTCACTCAAGCTTGGTTTTCTTGCTCATGGTTGATGTTCTACCACTTGAGCCATACTTCCAGTCTGGCTTTTTGCTGGTTAGAAATAAAGTCTCTCAGATTTTTCTGTACAGGCTGGTTTCAAACCTCCATTCTTCAGGTCTTAGCCTCTTGTGTTTCAGTTTTAAAAGACAAAGAGTTCTAGAAATTAACAGTGGAGATAACCATACAATGTGAATGTATTTGATTTACATTTTGAAATGATTAAGATGAGCCAGGTGCTGATGACTCATGTCTGTTATTCCCTAGCTACTTAGGAGGTTGAGAGCTGAGGTTTATAGTTCAGAGGTAGCCAGGGAAAAAAAGTCAGTGAGACTCTATTTCAATTAACTGCCATAAAGCCAGGCTGAACACATGGCTCAAGTGGTAGAGCACTTGCTGTGAGCAACCAAGCCAGGCAAGAAAAGCCCCAGTACTGGCACAAAAAAATTTTTTTAAAGTTTTGATGGCAACTGAAGCTGGAGGCATGAGGCAGTCATAGAGAACCTGAATAGCAAGTGTTAAGCCCTGAGTTCAATCCCCAGTACCTCAAAAAAGAGGTAAACTCCAAGTATGTATATTTAAGCACACCTTAAAATAAGCGTTTTTTAAAAACCTAAGAAAATACCTGTTTCACCAAAATAGCTAAAATTATAGCATGGTACACCTATAATCTCACCTCCTTGGGAAGACGAGGCAAGAGGCTCACTTAAGCCCAGGAGTTCCAGAGCAACCTCAGTAAAAGAGCAACAGCTTGCCTAAAATGAAAATTCAAGAATAAATGGGAGCTGGGAAGGTGGCTCAGTGGTAGAGTGCTTGCCTTGCATGTATGAGGCCCTGGGTTTGATTCCTCAGCATCACATAAGCAAAAAGAAAAAAGCCAGAAGTGGCACTGTGGCTTAAGTGGTAGAGCACTAGCCTTGAGCTGAAGGGCTGAGGGACAGCACTCAGGCCCCACGACCAGACCTCCCCCCCAAAAAAAGAATAAATGGGTACCAGTAGCTCATGCCTATAAACCTAACTTCTCAGAAGGCTAAGATCTGAGGATCATGGTTCATGCCTGGGCAGGAAAGTGTAGGAGACTCAACTCAAATTAACCACCAAAAAGCCAGAAGTAGAGCTGGGGCTCAAATGGTATAGAGTGCTAACCTTGAGCAAACAAGCTTATGGACAGTTCCCAAACCCCGAGTTGAAGCTCCAAGACTGGCACAAAAAAAAAAAGAAAAAGGAAAAAAGGTTGACAAAGCAAAGCTGACTTGGTAAAATTTAGAAGAACTAAAAATCCTATGTCACTAGTGGGACTAAAATTTGTACAACTATTTGGGAAATGGCATTATCTACTAAGGCTAAATAGTATATGGTTATACAATCTTCCTAGGCTTATGCCCAGAGAAATGAGTGGGAATTTCCATCAAAAATCACAAGCAAGCATGTTCAGAACTGCTTTATTTGTGCTGGCAAAAGACTGGACATAATCCAAAGTATAACAGGGAAATAAACTGTAGCATATCCACACAATTGGAATTCTTACTCAACAATGGATTAGAAGGAATGACCAATCCACACAAATTCATAGATGAATCTTCTAGACATATGAAACATACACGAAGTTCCTACTGTAGGATTCTATTTATATGAAACCTAAAAGCAGGCAAAAGTAATAGTTTTCTTTTTAAAAACCATAACATGGTTACCTTCATATTGGAGGTGAGATGAATATTGGACAAAGGAATCTTCTTCGACGTTGGTGATATAATATCTTGACTTGTCACCACCTGGTATATATGCACACAACTTTAAGCAGTGTAGTTTAAATGAATACTGAACACTTTATTGTATGTTTTTTATACCTCAAAAGTACAATATCTGTAAGGCACCGGTCCTTTCAATGAGTATGCTATAATTCAAAATAAGAAAAAAATCTTAACCTTGCTTTTTTCTTTTTCACCTCAGATGATTAGTCCCCCCATTCCTCTCAGACAAGTTGGGGAACATAAGTTACTTCCTAGTTTCCTGAAATCATCAGATGATCAATTAACACCTCAAAGGAAATTCCACTGTTCCTAAATGTCCAAGCTTTACTGAGACAGTTTCTTATCCATCAGGGTCCTTAGAATGATAATCTTTCTGCCTTCATTTAGTTTATTTTTCAAAAGACTATCTCAATTTGATTTCTGCTAGTTAAATGTCCAATTTAATCATTTTAACCTTCAAGAACAGCTTGGTTTTATACCCTCATTAGCAGGGGCTAAACAAATCCCTCCCCAGCTATAAAAGCAAAATGTCAAAAACCACAAGGTAGAGCTAAGTTGTGGCTCAGTGGTAGACAGAGAACTAGCCTGGCATTTGCAAACCTCTAGGGTTTTTTTTAAACCAAAAGATGAAATAAATTCAGAAACTACCATTACATTTCTGCATTGTGATGAATATGTGTACCATCCCCCTTTCTCCCTAGAAAGAAACCTTCATTTTGATTTCTATGAGAGCAGCCATTTTGATGCCTGACCCTTACACAGCCAACAGGAATGTCAGCTTTCCTGGGAAAGTGCCACTCTCAGGAAAGAAAACAAAAAATTCACAAAAAGGTGAACTCATTCCCTTTCCCTGGCTTCTCTTCAACCATTCATAACAATGTGCATATTAAGTACTTTAATATGCAAAACTCACATTGTAATGATAATCAGTCAAATCCTTTTGATGTCAGATTGAATAACTCCACAAACTTGATTGTCTCTGATCTGCATATAACCTATCCTTATTTCAATTAAGTGGGCAAATTAGTGGGCTAGAAAAACAGCCCTGGAGTAGGAGAAAAGTGACAAGAAGGTTAAAAACAGAAAGACTGGTTTAAAAGAAATGTCCAGATACATCTGAACTCTTATCTGTGTGTCATCAAGTTAACAAAGATGCAGTTTTATTTATGAAAGGCAGATATAGGCATTATATTGGTTCATTAAAGTGACCCCAAATGAAAACTGTTCAGAACAATTGGTTTTTAAAAGCAAAGATTCACAATTACAAGGACGAAATGGCTTCTCTTTTAGAACAGTAAAGTCTGGTTATAAAATGACATGCAGTCTTTTTATTTGAATATATTATCTGAACTAGATTAGTGTTGTTTTCTCTACAATTACCTTCTAATGTTTCACTTTATAAAAGCCTATATAAATGTCAAAATACTGAGAATAAATGTAAATGGGTTAGCTTTACTGGAATGCAATTAATTATAAATCTGGATAGGTGGATTAATTTCCCCACATACCTGTGGTTTTGGCTTTTGTTTTTGTTGTTGTTTTTGTTTTTCAGACTCCTGTGCTTGTACATTCAACTATTTATTTTTCAGAAATCACTTCTGGAAGCTCCAGGTTTGGCTTCTACACTGCCACCTGTGGACATAAAAGCAAAATAAGCCATACCTGATTCAACAATGTATCTTTTCCAGGCATCTAACAGGAAGAAACTGGAGGGGGGGGGGGGGGGGGCAATGTGCTCCAAAAGACAAAGTATTGTTTCTCCTCGGTGAGAATTTCTAAGGCATGTCTCACACCCCACCAATGGCTAGCTAAAATTATTTGATTAAATTTTAAAACATACCAAGGTCCCAAGTCAAATACACAATACTCTCATCAGTTCATTAGAGATGAGAATCCCCAAGCTCAACTTAACAGCCATCTCAAGACCCATCGTTTAAAATTAGGAGCTACCTTGCTTACTTTGTTAATGCAGACATGAAGAATTTGTAAATTACCTCAGTGAAGAAGAAAGGACCCAGGCTAAGATACATTACCACAAAGTCTTACGACTATTTAACAAGATATAAATTCTAACCAAAACTAGCTTTGTCCAACCTAAACAGCAGTTTGGTAGGCTATTTTCATTATAATGCCCCATCCCTAATCTGAATATGAATGAACGCTAACAGATCTTTCCTAATACCCTTTGGATTTAAGTGCAGATAGATTTTTCGTTAAAAATTTATTCTTTCTTAAAGTCAGCGAAAGAGAGGAATAAAATTCTACAACTATCAAGAGTCTAAGCAGCCACAAGATGAGAGGTGTTTGTGTGTATCTGAGTGTGTGTGTGTGTGTAAGAGAGTGTGTGAGAGAGACCACACCACTCGACGAGAGAGAGGGGGAGGGTGGGGGAGGGAGACCGAGAGAGACCAAGAGACCACACCACTCGACGAAGCTTTTTACCTCCCCAGACTCCCACAGTCTACCCAGGACAAATGCTTTAACACCAGCACCTTAAGCCAAATACACGAGGACCCCCCCCACACACACACCCCGCCCCCCCCCTTCCTAGGAAAGTGCTAGAAGCCACCCAGCTCAAATGCCAGCGGGACCAGAAAGCCCGAATTCCCCTGGGCTTCTTTACCCACACCAGAGATGCGTCCCACTTACCCGCAAATTACTTTAACGCCTGGGAAGCCTGTTGGGGTTTACAGAATTGCGAAAAATTCAAGAAAATCAGGTCTCCTTGAGCCACTCTCCTCCTCTTCCTTTCCCCCTAGGACCGGCATTCACACAAAACATTCTCCCCTCCCAAAGCCCGAACTCTCGCTGGGCTATCCCAAGGGGGTTGGGATGGGGCAGCGGGGGAGGGGGGGAGGTCTCACCATGACCCAATCCGCTCCCACGTGCCTCCATTAAACGCGCGTCCAAACGTGCACGGGCTCCACGGGCACGTGCACAGCCCACCCTCGGAGAGAAGTTCAGCTACCCCTTTCCCCCACCCCCTCCCGACCTCCGAACTCTCCCAGGCCCCGAAAACGTGGGGAGCCCCCTGGGGCACAATCACCCGCGCCAACACACAATACTCCAGCAACTCCAGCCTCCCCCTCCTCGCCCCGCACACGCCCCGGCAGGTTCCCCGGCCAGTCGGCCCCGCTCCCCAGGTCCTTATAGTCTCGCGGGTGGGGCCGGGGGGGTCCTAATGGTTGTTGGGTTGGGGATTGCAAAAGAAGGGTGGGAGGGCGACCAGCGCACACCATCGAAGATTGTGGCGGGCAAAGGACACGGGCGCTTGGCTCCTCCAAAGGGGACAGGGTGGGGGTGGGAACAACAAGGAGACTCGAGGGGAGTCTCTAAGGGGGGGGTGCACCTTTCCTGCACCTCTTTCCTCACCTAGTAAAGCACGAACACCAGGGGATCGTGTACCTTCCTCCTGCCGCAGGACGGCCCTTTCTGGCTCTCGTCCCCGTGCAAGGCGGTGTGGGATGGAAAAGGAGGAAAAGAAGGGAATTCAGGCAGTCGGGGCGCCTCGCTTTGGGGTACCCACCTGCGCGCACGGTCGCCGCTGCTGCGTGTGCAGCCACCGGTGCGCGATTTCCCGCTGCTAAGAGGCGGCAACAGCCTGACTCTCCCGGACTCCTAGCACCTCCGAAGCGACGACCTTCGTTCTCCCACGTCCGGATCGCCCACCTTATCCTGCAGGTTCTGCCACCGTCCCTCTGCCCGCCCGAGCCTGATCTGCGCTCTCCGCCCCTTTCCCGCCGCCCCGCGCAGCACTGCGCTCCGCCCCCCGCCCGCCCATCCCTGCGGGGGCCCAGCCCAGGGCTGCGGCTCCCCGCGCCTCGTGCCGCAGTTCTCACGTCCCGGGGGAAAAAGAGGGGAGAGGGGAAGGCTGGAGCTGGACCCTGGGATCCGCCCCGAACCCTGTGTTCTTAACCTGCGTCCCACTCCTTGGCCCTCGCGGCGGCTGTTTGCACTCACCCTGAGGCCAAGGGTTTGGGCACCGCGCGCTCTGTCCAAATTGTTCCGGCCGATGTTCCCTCCGCAGGGCACCTACCACAGCCTAGGGTGCTTCGTGCCTTGGGGGAAGGGGCCTGGGGAAGTGGGGTGGTGTGAGCCAGAGAGGAGGTGAAGAAATTACCATGTCAACTGCCAGGATATGCAAGTCTATGGTTGCACCTAGTTTCGGTTACCAGAACTACCTCGAGGTGCTGTTGTCCCTGTTGGAAGGGCAGTAATACTCAGAGGCTTGAATACAAAGATTCCCAGGCTAATTGTTGTAGGATTGTTGGCTTCTTTTTTTTCCTTTAATGATGGCAAAAAAACAACAGACTGACTCTTAAAAACTAAGTTTGCTTTGCATATACGTATTACATATATAAAGCCATCTTTCTAATTTAAAAAGCATCAAAATATATAAATAACAGAACAGCTGTGCTTTACAAAAACAGATCGAGTGTGTATGTGTTATTTAAACCCACTGTAATTAAATTAATTGGTTCGTTTTAAAATATATTTTAGGTATTTCCTAAAACAGGCTCAGAATTTAAGGATTAGGAACCCTTGAGTTTTAATTTGGCTTTTTGCCATAGTTCTAAAACGTCAATTTCATGGAAATTACTAAATGTACTTATTTAGGGGGAAATGGCTTCTTTTCCTTCCAGGTTGGCAGCATTTTTAGATCTGGCAACGGACAGGTTTTGTTGTGTTTTTTTTTTTTTAAGCAAAGAAATAATAAAGTTCTCATTCATTTTCTGGTGATGGAATGTCTGGTAGCTTTTTCTTTAGTGCGATATTTCTTTTCCATTTCCTCTTAGATTTTTCTCCCAAAATTTCTCTCTAAACATAAGGTTCTGGATGACATGATTTTTTAGCCTTCATTTTCTTAAAAGGGGTAGAAAAGTTAATTTTAAGTCATCAAAATCAAACCAAGGCCGATGATACTAAATTTCTCATGGATGAATCCTATTTTTCAACTCTATTTACATTTAATTATCTAAGCTAATACTTGAGAACCAAGAGGACGTTTATGTTCCTGTTTTTCTTTTTTGAAACAATGTCTGTCTATATAATCTTCCTTGCCTCAAATTCTGAGTGCTCTTGCCTCCACCTTTCGCAAAAAGTTCTTTAAAAAAAATCCTTATAAGAATTAAATGCTTGTAAGAATGCTTATCAGAATAAAATACTCTGTGTGTGTGTGTGTGTGTGTGTGTGTGTGTGTGTGTATGTGTGTGTGTGTGTGCTGGTACTAGGGCTTGTACTTCGGGCATGGGTGCTCTCCTTAAGTTTTTCCATTCAAGGCTGGCATTCAATCATCACGGCTCTACTGGCAGTTTTTTTGCTGGTTAATTGGAGATAATTGGAGATAAGAGTTACAGACTTTCCCTGGCCAGACTTGCTTCAAACTGTGATCCTTAAATCCCAGCCTCCTGAGTAGCTATGTATCATAGGCATGAGCCACCAGCACCCAGCAAAATGTATACTTTTTAATTAACATTTTGAACCAAAGTGAAATTCATTAAATTGACTAATGAAAAAATATATTAGTACTGTATGTATTGCTGGGTAAATGAGCTCAATGTGGATGACAAACTGTTTTGAAGAAGAGACTGAGGCAAAACAGTCTTTAGGAAAAAAAACAACGGATGACCCCTTTTTAAAGGGAAGGTTGACAAATACCAGTAATTATGCAAAGAATGATGACTGCCTCTTTTCTCTTTGGTTTTGTAGCTAGGCTGCATTTATCTCTTTTGATCATCATAATAAAAATAAAGTAATTCAGCATTCTGGTAACATTGCTTAGTAAATTAGCAATTTGAAAATTCTTTTATTACTTAATTAATCCAAATAAATGCCTCTGATAAATCCAGTTTTACTCATATATACGTATATATAATTTTTGGTGCCTCAAAAAATACTTGCAAGAAATTAAAATAAGGCAAGATCAACAACAAGTGTAACCCAGCTTCTTTGAGCATATGTGTGTAGCAAGAGACTTAATATTAAGTGACCTTTGGATCTTAAATTATATATTAGATACTAGTTATAAATTGCTCATTGGCTACTTTTTTAATGAGTTCCTGTTTATTTGCTTTGTCCTGTATATTCCCCAAAAGGATATTTCTTTTCTCTCTGCTTTATTAAATCTATCTTTAGCTCAACTATTTTCATTGAATTTCCAGGAATCAGACCTTATCCATAGCTCATTTGACAATCATCTTGGTCCTTCAATTGGATTCTCTCTTGGAGCCTTTGGTAAGAATTCTGCATGATTAGACATCCACTTTGGGAGGAAAAAAAGTTCTTCAGCAGGCATGATTCTAAGAGATAACAACTAGATTTTTCAAGTCAGAAAGGTTTGACTCATTTGAATAAAAAAGAAAGAAACAAAAACAGCAAATCTATTTTGTCCAGGTGGAAAGAAGCACATTAAAATATCATTTGAAATTCTTCCTAAATCTGAATTGTATTACAAAATAAGCTAAAAAGTAAAATTCACATAATTTGATTTGCATTGTCTTTCACCATAACAAAGGTTTTGCACCACTGACCAAACACCACTGAACTTCATATTTAGTTCCTGGACTATTGAGGGTTTTTCATTGATGTTTCAATATGATATTGCTCAGTACACTCCCACTGTCCCCAAGAAATTCTGTGTCAGACTCCACTGGGTTTCAAATATTCTTTTGCCATGTCAATAACATTGATGAGTACAAATCTGAACATCCCTTGTAAAACCTTGGAAAGGGGACTCTGATGAGCCCATGTTCCAAATAGAGGCATTAAAACAAAACATGAATTTCTGTTCTAACAATTTCATTCTATTGGTGTCTCTGATTCTGACTTTGCATGAACCACAGTCAACGTGTTAGCTTTCTTCTCTTGAGAATTGTCTTCTGATAAATACATTAGTAGCTTTTGGTCTGTTTACCCTTTGGGCTGTAAATCTGAATATAACGCGGTTTTTCTCCTTGTCTATTATAATATTATGGTTACAACTGAGAATTACAGGGAAATGATGAGACAACACTTTGCTATTTTCCTTTTTTGGCTCTATGAAAAATATGAAGTAAGTTTCTTTGATGAGGATTTGTGAGCACCGTCATTGATTCAAATTTGCAATGTCATTTACTTTAATAGGTCTTTCCCTTGTGTTAGGGAAATATATTGATAGTTACCTCACAAGACAATGAAGATAGAGATAATACCACCCATATAATGTTCAGATTGAAATGGTGAGGCTCTGAGCTCAGTTACTTAGAAATATGTGTGTATATGTAGGTGTGTATGTATAATTCAAAACTAAATATAAGCCTGAATGCATGAATAGATTCTTCAGCTACAAAACCTTTGGGAAGCTCTCTCATGAATTGGGGGAATAAGATAATTTGAAGAAGACTCTGTTACCTCACTCACCCCAAGTACCTTTTTCTGATCCAGATCTTCCTATTAATTTCTAGCACTAAATGTCTAATCATATTATTCTATTTTTTAAAAGATGCAAGCAAGAATGAGGAAAGACAGTAGGATATGGTGATTACATGTATGACTGGTTAGTACAACTGAGAGACCAATCAGGTTAGTAAAATCATAATAGCCTCCCACTGTGAACAACTGTGCTTTGTTCTGTGTCATGGTTGAGAATCAAAGCCTTATTTTTAGACTCAGAAAAATTTATTATTGGACACCAGGTATTGAAGTTGGAATTGCATCCCTCAAAAATCCCTCAAAAATAGACAGACACTTGCACAGTCACATTCATTTCTGTACTATTCACCATAGCCAACGTATAGAAGCAGCCCAGATGCCTTTCAATGGACACATGGATCAAGAAAATTTGGTATATAGATACAATGGAATTTTACTCATCCATTAGGAAGAATGATGTTACATCATTTGCAAAGAAATGATAGACTAGAAAAAAATACATTAAGTGAAGTAAGTCAGGCCAGGGAGACAAAGGACACGTTTTCTCTCATATGTAGACTATGTGGAAGCTAGAACTAATACACAAGTAAGTACATACGAAGGTCATATGTAAGTATACACAAATGTATTAACCAACATATTCCCTGTTATACGCAGGGAAGAATTCACACATCATAATTCCTTAGAAAAATGAACTCACAGGCCAACAAAATTAATACTAGGAAGCTGGTACTTGAGAGATGTGTAGGAGGAGGTAAAAGGAGAAGGGTAAATGTCAGAAGTGGGGCAAGAATACAATCATAGTATTCAATGCATATCATATGTAACTAGGAAAATTGAGGGAAGGGACTGGGTAGTTAGGGATAGGGGAGAACGGTGAAAGGGATGATGACATCAATCAAGATGGGTTGTACTTATAAACTGACTTGTTGGCTGGTAACATCTTTGTTCAACTATTTAAAGCTAATGAAAATATATGTTGACAATCTAGGCTGAAATCCTACCTCATGGTAACTTTGAATGTGACCTTATTTGGGAACAGGGTCTTTGCAGATGCCATCACAATATAAGATGAGTTGGCACTTGAATAGAATGTTCCCTTCATCCAACATGACTAGCAGTCTTATAAGAAGAGGAGGGTCATGTCAATACAAAGGGACACTAAACTTAGGATGGTATGAGTCAAGAGACATCTGGTACCTCCAAAAATCAGAGAGACAAGAAAAGATTTCTCCTCTGAAGGCTTCAGAGGATGAATGATTCTG